TGGACTTTTGATTTAGGATCTCCAATTTTGAGCAGTTATATATTTATTATTCTCGGTTTCCCTCCCACCCCATTCTGGGGAGGCGCTTTTCGTTTTCTCCCTTTTGTATATACAGGTGCTGGCCAGTAAATTAGAATATCATCAAAAGGTTGAAAATATTTCAGTAATTCCATTCAAAACGTGAAACTTGTACATTATATTCATGCAATGCACACAGACCAATGTATTTCCAATGTTCATTACATTTAAATTTGATATTCATAAGTGACAACTAATGAAAACTCCAAATTGGGTATCTCAAAAAATTAGAATATTCTGAAAAGGCTGAATATAGAAGACACCTGCTGCCACTCTAATCAGCTGATTTACTCAAAACACCTGCAAAGGCCTTTAAAAGGTCCCTCAGTCTTGTTTTGAAGGCACCACAATCATGGGGAAGACTTCTGACTTAACAGCTGTCCAAAAGACAATCATTGACACCTTGCACAAGGAGGGCAAGACACAAAAGGTGATTGCTAAAGAAGCTGGCTGTTCGCAGAGCTCTGTGTCCAAGCACATTAACAGACAGGCGAAGGGACGGAAAAAATGTGGTAGAAAAAAGTGTACAAGCTCTAGGGATAACCGCACCCTGCAGAGAATTGTGACGACAAACCCATTCAAAAATGTGGGGGAGATCCACAAAGAGTGGACTGCAGCTGGAGTCAGCGCTTCAAGAACCACCACGAGGAGACTCATGAAAGACATGGGATTCAGGTGTCGCATTCCGTGTGTCAAGCCACTCTTGAACAAGAAACAGCGCAAGAAGCGTCTCGCCTGGGCCAAGGACAAAAAGGACTGGACTGATGCTGAGTGGTCCAAAGTTATGTTTTCTGATGAAAGCAAGTTCTGCATTTCCTTTGGAAATCAAGGACCCAGAGTCTGGAGGAAGAGCGGAGAAGCACAGAATCCACGTTGCATGAGGTCCAGTGTAAAGTTTCCACCGTCAGTGATGGTGTGGGGTGCCATGTCATCTGCCGGTGTTGGCCCACTCTGTTTCCTGAGGTCCAGGGTCAATGCAGCCGTCTACCAGGAAGTTTTAGAGCACTTCATGCTTCCTGCTGCTGACCAACTTTATGGGGATGCAGACTTCACCTTTCAACAGGACTTGGCACCTGCACACAGTGCCAAAACCACCAGCACCTGGTTCAAGGACCATGGTATCCCTGTCCTTGATTGGCCAGCAAACTCGCCTGACCTTAACCCCATAGAAAATCTATGGGGTATTGTGAAGCGGAGGATGCAATACGCTAGACCCAACAATGCAGAGGAGCTGAAGACGACTATCAGAGCAACCTGGGCTCTCATAACACCTGAGCAGTGCCACAGACTGATCGAGTCCATGCCACGCCGCATTACTGCAGTTATTGAGGCAAAAGGAGCCCCGACTAAGTATTGAGTGCTATACATGCACATTCTTTTCATGTTCATTCTTTTCAGTTGGCCAACATTAGAGAAACAAACATTTTTTCATTGGCCTTTAGAATATTCTAATTTTCTGAGATACCAGATTTGATGTTTTCATTGGTTGTCACCTATAAATATCAAAATTAAACGTAATAAACATCGGAAATACATTGGTCTGTGTGCATTGCATGAATATAATGTACAAGTTTCACGTTTTGAATGGAATTACTGAAATATTTTCAACCTTTTGATGATATTCTAATTTACTGGCCAGCACCTGTAGCTCCTCGGTTTTGTATATAGTACGGTTTTAGGTTCTTTGTAAATATCCCTTTGTTTTGTAATAAAATCCTTGGTTTTTTAAGCGACACAGCAATTTGTTATTATTTACCCACACACTAATTTTATTACTCCCCTCCTCATCTCTCCTAGAGAGCTGGGGACGTAATAGCCCTTAACAGAAAGCCACCCGCCATCCTGGAGCGTCCCCCACAGGGTGCCCCTGGGGACACGGTCATAAGCCTTCTCCAAATCCACAAAACACATGTGGATTGGTTGGGCAAACTCCCATGCCCCCTCCATCACCCTTGCAAGGGTATAGAGCTGGTCCACAGTTCCACAGCCAGGACAAAAACCACGCTGCTCCTCCTCAATCTGAGATTCAACTATCGATCTGACCCTCCTCTCCAGTACCTTGGAGTAGACCTTTCCAGGGAGGCTGAGGAGTGTGATACCCCTATAGTTGGAACACACCCTCAGGTCACCCTTCTTAAAGATGGGGACCACCACCCCGGTCTGCCACTCCCTAGGAACTGCCCCTGATTACCACGCAATGTTGCAGAGACGTGTCAACCACGACAGCCCTACAACATCCATAGCCTTGAGATACCCAGGACAAATCTCATCCACCCCCGGTGCTCCGCCGCTGTGTAGTTGTTTGACTACCTCAGCAACTTCTGTCCCCGAGATTGGACAGTCCATCCCCAAGTCTCCCGGCTTTGGCTCCTCCTCGGAATAGACATAGGTGGGATTGAGAAGTTCCTCAAAGTATTCCTTCCACCGCCCGACTATAGCCCCAGTTGACGTCAGCAGCTCCCTATCCCCACTGTAAATGGTGTGAGTGAGTTGCTGCCTTCCTCTCCTGAGGCACCGCACAGTTTGCCAGAACCTCTTTGGCGCAGATCAATAGTCTTTCTCCATGGCCTCACCAAACTCCTCCCACGCCCAAGATTTTGCCTCGGCAACTGCCACTGCTGCACCCCGCTTGGCTATCCGGTACCTGTCTGCTGCCTCCGGAGACCCACAGACCAGCCACGCCCTGTAGGCCTCCTTCTTCAGCCTGATGGCTCCCCGAACCTCTGGTGTCCACCAGCGGGTACGGGGGTTGCCACCACGACTGGCACCGGCCACCTTGCGACCAGAGCTAGCAACAGCCGCCTTAACAATCACAGAGTGGAACAAGGCCCACTCGGACTCGATGTCCCCCACTGCTCTCGGGACGTGGTCAAAGCTATGCCGGAGGTGGGAGTTGAAGACTGTCTTGACAGGTTCTTCTGCCAGGCGTTCCCAGCAGACCCTCACTATGCATTTGGGTCTGCCAGGTCTACACGGCATCTTCCCCTGCCATCTGGTCCAACTCACCACCAGGTGGTGATCAGTTGACAGCTCCGCCCCTCTCTTCACTCGGGTGTCCAAAACATACGGCCGCAGGTCAGATGATACAACTACAAAGTCCATCATCGACCTTCGACCTAGGCTGCCTTGGTACCAAGTGTACCGATGGGTATCCTTATGTTCAAACATGGTGTTCGTTATGGCCAAACTGCGGCTTGCAAAGAAGTCCAATAATGAAACACCGCTCGAGTTCAGATCAGGCGGGCCGTTCCTCCCAATCACACCCCTCCAGGTCATGCTGTCATTGCCCAGGTGAGCATTGAAGTCCCCCAGCGGGACAATGGAGTCCCCTGATGGAGCACTATCTAGCACTCGTCCCAGGGACTCCAGAAAGGGTGGGTAATCTGAACAGATGTTTGGCCCATAAGCACAAACAACAGTCAGGACCCGTTCCCCGACCTGAAGGCGCAAGGAAGCTACCCTCTCGTCCCCCGGAGTAAACCCCAACACACAGGCAGAGAGTATTGGGGCTAACAAAAAGCCAACCCCAGCCCTCCGCCTCTCACCCGGAGCAACTCCAGCAAAGGAGAGTGTCCAACCCCTCTCAAGGACTTGGGTTCCAGAGCCAATGCTATGTTCAATTCAATTGAATTCAATTCAAGTTTATTTATAAAGCGCCAAATCACGACAAGAGTCGTCTCAAGGCACTTCACATAATAAACATTCCAATTCAGGTCAGTTCATTAAATCAATCAGAAATAATGTTTCCTATATAAGGAACCCAGCAAATTGCATCAAGTCACTGACTAGTGTCAGTGACTTAATGCAATCCTCATACTAAGCAAGCATGCAGCGACAGTGGAGAGGAAAACTCCCTTTTAACAGGAAGAAACCTCCAGAGAATCCTGGCTCAGTATAAGCAGCCATCCTCCACGAATCACTGGGGTGAGGTGAGTCCGACTATATCTAGCCGGTACCGCTCAACCTCTGCCACAAGCTCCTGCTCCTTCCCCGCCAGCGAGGTGAAGTTCCAGTTTCCTTGTCCGGGGATCGGACCGCCAAGGCTCCCTCCTCGGTCTGCCACCCGATCCACATTGCACCGGACCCTTCATGTTCCTCCTGCAGGTGGTGGGTCCATAGTTGGATGAGTCCATGTATCCGGTTCGGGCTGGGCCCGGCCGAGCCCCATGGGCGAAAGCCCGGCCACCAGGCGCTCGCTCACGGGCTCACGGGCCCCAACCCCAGGCCTGGCTCCAGGGTGAGACCCCGGTAACCCTCCGGGCCGGGTACTCCGACTCTTTGGTTTTACTTCCATGAAAGATCTTCTGAACCGTTCTTTGTCTCACCCTTCACCTAAGACCCATTTGTCTACTTATGGTCATTTATTTGTAACTAATGAATAAATATGAGTATTTACAGCTCACTATCAATACAGAGTAAATATGATTTGCGGTGTTGACCCTGAAGGGAAAAGCCGAAAGAGAAGGAGACAATCTATTTACATTCATGTCTGTTGTTTATTATCTCCTGTATTAGTAACATTGATATTATGCAAAGCTTAATATTCTTTCAGATGTATTTAGTTTCTTGAAATCTTCTCAAACCCTCACTGAACTGATTTGTGACTAAAGCGTGGTGCAGGTCTGACAATCACAATGTTAGAGCACAGAAACACCTAAAATATCCAGGGTAGTGACCATCAACGACCAGGATTAAACACTTCTAAGTTTAGGAAAACCTGCATCTGCAATCAATCTTTAAAACAAAGCTTTTGTGTTTCTGAAAAGACCATGAGCCTATGGTTGAACATAAACCATCCCAGACGCGTTTGTAGCAAACCCCAGAACACTTTGCTTTCTCCTGAGGTCTCTCATTTCATCAAAGCAAACGGCCTCAAGAACATTCAACGGATCTGTTAGAAAAAGTACGACACGCTTACTTACCAGTCTTTTGGGTTCCATGTAGCTGGGTCTTCGAACGCTGTACGAGTAATAATTTAAAGTTGCATACTCCATCAGGGCAGCAAAGACAAAGAGGAAGCAAACGGTGACAAAAAGGTCCATGGCGGTGACGTAAGACACTCTGGGTAATGACGTCCTGGCTACAGAACTGAGAGTGGTCATAGTCAGGACGGTAGTGATTCCTGAAAGAGCAGAAGAAAAGCTTATTATGGCATCACTGAAAGTTCAGTTTTATTCTGCTACTTATGGTCAAAACCTTTAATAACTAGTGGTCTCCTTAGGCTTCCTTAGAATGTTATAACCAACTTAAGAGATTTAGTTATTATCCACATTTCTTTACAGTATGAGACTTTTGAGGGACGAGCCAACAGGTTTTAATGAAGAATGAAATCTTTACTTTTGAACGTGCAATTTTTTAGGCTCGATTAACTTTCCTATTTTTCTTATTGTTTTTTGCCCTGTAAAAATGTTTTTGATTGTTTAAAGTTCAAAATAAAGATTTCAACATCTTCATCATTAGTCATTTACAACTGATTAACATTTGAAGAAACTTTAATTAAGATGGCTGCCAAAACTATTCAACATTAGAAAACACTAAAACAGCAACAATTCTTTACAGATGAGCAGCAACTTCACCTTTGTAGATGAGAGTCGATTACAGCACATACTTTGAGCGCTAAAATGTAAAATGGCACAAGATTATACAAGAAGTTATTATTAAGATTTGTCTAAACGAATATAACTCCATCATTTCTCAACACAAGATTATCTTTGTTTAAAACTGTCCAGAAAGGGCACTGGGTCTTTGATTTGTGGGTGTAAGCAGCAGGTTATCGATGCAGTCTGGTATCAGCTAGGTTGATGGTGTAGTAATGGTGAGATTTTTTACACCTTCTGATATTGATTTCTAATTTCCCCCTTCAAGTTTTTTTTTATCAATGAGCTAAAAAAATGCAACCAAGACAAGAAAATAGAATGTACTGTTTCAATGCTGTTTCCATGGTAACAAGCTGGCCTCATCTATTTCAGGCAGACGTCTCCCACTTTTCCCTCACCCGCTCTGCCTGTAACAGTGATGACCTCACTGTCTGCTGATGCTGACACACATTCAGAGTTTTTGCTCTAAACAACAGAATGAACAGCAGGTAAAACACCTGGAAGCATTTATCTCTGCTGATAAACAAGAATGATATTGTGTCATGTAAGGCACAAAATGTTCAGTAAATGTTAATAAATACACAAAAATTAATGTGTTTTATTTAAATGATGCTATAAGTGTATCTGTCACAGTTAAAGGCTAAAACCTGACTCAAAGCATACGTTATTTTCACATCATAGTGAGCTCATATCCCTGTCTGCATCCAACCTAACATCCACCCATCTATTCTATTCTATTCTATCCTATTCTATTCTATTCTATTCTATCCTATTCTATTCTATTGTGGGATTTCTGTAACTTTTGAAGTGGAGATGATGGATGAAAGAAAGAGTAAGACCACCAATGACTGAATGCTGCATTAAGATTAGAATGATCCAAAAAGAAAACAGACACATATTTAAATTACAGCACAGACATATATTTAAATTACAAGTACAGCTTTGAATCGACTCTTCAACTGAAAGCTAGTCTGCAAGGACCTAAAACAAACCTGTTATATGATAAGGAGAAAAATTAAATTGCCTTTAAAACTGATGTACTGATTTTATTATCAGACTTTTAGGTGACAAGACAATTCTCTAAACAAAGTTTTATAAATGCAAATATAATGTAAAATTTTTTTTGAGAGCACCTTTTCTATGATGTATAATAGTAAAAATGCATTACGTCTGCATGTGTGACTGCACGAGTGAATGACTGGTTAATTTCCCTCTGGGATTAATAAAGTATTTTTGAATTTGAATTTGAATTATGTTGTAAAGCACCTTGGGGAGTTGTAGAACCCTGGAAGGTTCTACATAAACACAGGCCATTCCCCATTAGGCCCTTATTTACATGTCGCACAGCTTATGGCAACAGCAATAGCATATACCTTTGAGGATGTTTTTGTTATTAAAACATGAACACAACCCAACACTAATGAGCATCATGGATGGCAACCCATCAACCTAACAGAATGTGGTAATAAAGGAAGGAGCGACTGAAGGACCGTGTTGCATTTTTAACCCCAATAATAACTAAGAAAAACCAACATTCACCAAAAACAGTGTTCATCATTGTGTGTTCTGTTCCTAAAAACTGTTGTGCCTACATGAACAATGGGTCAAATAAAACAGAGAAAAAGCGAATTACCTTCACTAACTCCACTGGACTGCAGAGAGACAGAGGGCACACACAAAAAGGAATAACAGAACAGAAGTGGCACAATGAATGGCTCAAAAGACAAAGAAACATACAATCAGTGCTGGTAAACACAGATTAAGACAAAGCAAATTTAAAGGAAAACATAATTAAAATGTGCAAATAAAAATGTCTAAACTGGGACAGAGAGATGGATAACACACCGATATCTACCAATGTGTTGAGAGCCACAGTACCTAAAGCTGTTCTGGCAGGAGTGGCATCCTTTTTGATCCAGAAAGACACCCAAGAGAGGACCACTGTGAGAATACAGGGGATGTAGGTCTGGATGGTGAAGTAGCCCATTCTCCTACTCAAGTCAAAGTATACCGTCATCACCACATAGTCTCCTGTGGATGAAAGCATCAAGTTTTTTTCAGAATAGGCCAAACACAACTGATCAATTTATTTTAAAGGAGCAGTTGAATATTTTCCTTGTTGTGAATGAATAAAAACAGCTTGTGTGGTCAAAAGTAGCATACCAAAAAGTCTAACCTGTGTGTGACCTACTTTCAAGGCCGGATTACAATACGGGCAAACTGGGCACAGGCCCAGGGGCCCACAGCCACAAGGGGGCCCACGCAAGCAGCAGTTTATTTATTTATTTTTTTGTGCAGCAGTCTTAATGTTGGAGAAAAAAGTTAAGTAATTAAAATTGCGCCCACATTTTCTAAGTTAAACACATTGCTTTTAACAACGGTAGATTTTGCATCTATACTGTTCCCTGCTTCAGCCCTCTCCCCCTCCCCCTGCGCAGCGGCCGCAAACTCACTGATGCGCCTGCAGCCTCTCGGAGTTCCTGCCGATCTAAACGTTAAAATAGTTATTTCATTTTCTGTTCCTCACTTCTGATTACCTTCAGTGGTGTCTGTTTGTTGCAACCAGCAGGTACAAAAACTAACTTGTTTTTATTTGACTATTTTTCTGTCCTGCCTGTTTATTATCTTCCTGCATCTCCTCTCAATCCTAAAGAAAAGCTGCTACCTGGCTTCATATATATTCACCTCATGAGTTACCTTTGAACTGCAGTTCTAAACGATCTACCGACCGCTAAAACAGCGGAGTGCTCGCTGCTCGCCGGCCGCATCAGTGATCGGTGCGTCACCGGATGACAAGTTGATGCGCCCCGCTCCACAGCGAAACGCATCAGGTGCAAATAAAAGACAGAAAACATCAAAGGAAATGAACCGACATGAATGCCCCCCCCCCCGAGAAGATTTTGGTTAGCTTCACACCCATCATCATTTATCTTACTTTCTTAGCATCCATACAGTGAAAATGGAAGTTTGGTAAAGAGGGAGCGATACTTCTGTTAAATCTCGTAGTGGAAGTAGAAGAAGATTTCAGTTTGCTGCCATATTTACTCCACTGCAGATTCAATGTTTATTATTTTCTGTTTTTATTCATTGTCTAAGATTTTCAATAGAATTCTCATTTTTGTTTGTGGTCTGACTGATAAGTTTTGGAATAATCAACAATTTAACAAGAAAATACAATTTATCCAAACATTTTCATACAAATGCTTAATCTTTTCATATGGGACATGTTTATGATGCGTGTGTGTGTGTTATTTTGTTCTTACCAGCTGTAGTCTTTATTATATCTGTTGTGTTTCTCAGGCCCATAAAATCAAACTGGTACAGACGCCAGGACTTCTGGTCAGCTGCCTCCACAGAATTCTTCCTCCACTTGTAAATCATCTCGTTTTGTGGGTATCCATCTGTAATTTCACAGAGCATGTGTGTTTATGACCCTTGGCACTGAGCTGAGATGGATATCCTGCTCAGGCAGACCAAAGTCCCTCCGACCAACATTTCTCTTCTAATAGAGGCGGCTAATGAAAAGACACGCAGAAATGAAGACAGAGGAAGAAGAGAAGTAGAATAAATGAAAGCGTTGGCTCAATAATGTCATGAATTTATCTTGATGTGAGGCCAAACGTTCTCACAATCCAAACCGAGCCTCTGAGATTAATGATGGTTTGACGATTATAGCTTAGCTCTACAACTGTGTTTACCAAACTCCTCTGTCTTTAACAGACACATTAGCATATTTACTGGAAAAATGAAGTAATTTTCTTGCTTAACTGTAATTTATTGTAATGAAATTTAAATGACAAAAAACGTGAATTGCAAGGGTATGTAGCCAAACTAAAAACATAACTGATGAATGAATTCCACTGGTATTTACTCACATTTGCTGCTAATGATGTCATAAAATAAAAAGCAATCTATGATTCAATTGAAAATATTCAGAAAATGACAGCTTGTCAGAAAATCTCTATAACTGAGCTGACAGCAAGACCATAATGGAAATATTAAAAAGGTAATTTGCATAAAACCCAAGTATGATCATTTATGAATGCATATATGTGAGCGTAATAATTATCAGGAAGGGTTACAGGTTTATACGGTTTAGATTTTTGCTATAGGTTATGTCTAGTTCTGTGGAAGATGACAGGTTACAGCATGACTTAAGTCTAAACCTTTAAAAAGTACGGAAATTTGGTTTTGGTCAGTGACAGTTTTGCCTGCGTATAGTAAATGTATCTCAAACTGTTGAAAAGCCTGTTGGTTTCCCCCTTTATGGTACCACATTATTAGGGAGCTGTTCAATGGGGTCTACAGTGTAGGAGGGTCATGTTGCCCATACCATCGCCAGATTATGGAGGTCTCTGATAAACCTTGCTGTGTGAGGGCAAGCATTCCCTTCATCTCTATGCTCTGAGACTGGCTGTGATGGTGACAAGCCTAGTTTAACCAGTGAAGGAGATGTGGACCCACACCATCATAGTGCATCCACCATAAGCCTATCAGTGCAGCAATTAGTGTGACACTGTGGGTGTGTTTAAATTTGAAGGTGAACTGTGTCACAGCAATGCAACAAAGCTCTCTAAATTTGAAGGCGTCCTTCTTTTGCCTTGATTTAAAGGACATGTCTGGTGTATCCATCGCGGCTCATCCTATCCCAAGATTCCTTGGATGTTGAACACGTCGTCGTCTTCCTCCGCTTATCCGGGTCCGGGTCGCGGGGGCAGCATCCCAACTAGGGAGCTCCAGACCGTCCTCTCCCCGGCCACCTCCACCAGCTCCTCCAGCAGGACCCCAAGGCGTTCCCGGACCAGATTGGAGATGTAACCTCTCCAACGTGTCCTGGGTCGACCCGGGGGCCTCCTGCCGGCAGGACATGCCCGAAACACCTCCCCAGGGAGGCGTCCAGGAGGCATCCTGACCAGATGCCCAAACCACCTAAACTGACTCCTTTCAATCCGGAGGAGCAGCGATTCTACTCAGAGTCCCTCCCGAATGTCCGAGCTCCTCACCCTATCTCTAAGGCTGAGCCCGGCCACCCTACGGAGGAAACTCATTTTGGCCGCTTGTATCCGCGATCTCGTTCTTTCGGTCATTACCCAAAGCTCATGACCATAGGTGAGGATTGGGATGTAGATCGACCGGTAAATCGAGAGGCTGGCTTTCTGGCTCAGCTCCCTCTTCACCACGACAGATCAGCTCAGCGTCCGCATCACTGCAGATGCTGAACCAATCCACCTGTCAATCTCCCGATCCCTCCTACACTCACTCGTGAACAAGGCCCCGAGATACTTAAACTCCTCCACTTGAGGTAGGACCTCTCCCCCGACCCGGAGTTGGCAAGCCACCCTTTTCCGGTCGAGAACCATGGTCTCAGATTTGGAGGTGCTGATCCTCATCCCAGCCGCTTCACACTCGGCAGCGAACCTACCCAGCAACAGCTGAAGGTCAGAGCTGGATGAAGCTAGGAGGACCACATCATCCACAAAAAGCAGAGACAAGATTCTCCTGCCACCAAACTCGACACACTCCACACCACGGCTGCGCCTAGAAATTCTGTCCATAAAGGTTATGAACAGAACCGGTAACAAAGGGCAGCCCTGGCAGAGGCCAACCCTCACCGGGAACAGGTCCGACTTACTACCGGCTATGCGGACCAAACTTACGCTCCTCTGGTAAAGGGACTGAATGGCCCTTAACAGAAAGCCACCCACCCCATACTCCTGGAGCGTCCCCCACAGGGTGCCCCTGGGGACAAGGTCATAAGCCTTCTCCAAATCCACAAAACACATGTGGATTGGTTGGGCAAACTCCCATGCCCCCTCCATCACCCTTGCAAAGGTATAGAGCTGGTCCACAGTTCCACGGCCAGGACGAAAACCACATTGCTCCTCCTCAATCTGAGATTCAACTATCGATCGGACCCTCCTCTCCAGTACCTTGGAGTAGACCTTTCCAGGGAGGCTGAGGAGTGTGATCCCCCCATAGTTGGAACACAACCTCAGGTCACCCTTCTTAAAGATGGGAACCACCACCCTGGTCTGCCACTCCACAGGAACTGCCCCCGATGACCACGCAATGTTGCAGAGACGTGTCAACCACGACAGCCCTACAACATCCATAGCCTTGAGATACCCAGGACGAATCTCATCCGCCCCCGGTGCTCTGCCGCTGTGTAGTTGTATGACTACCTCAGCAACTTCTGCCCCCGAGATTGGACAGTCCATCCCCAGGTCTCCCGGCTCTGGCTCCTCCTCGGAATGCGCGTAGGTGGGATTGAGGAGCTCCTCAAAGTATTCCTTCCACCGCCCGACTATAGCCCCAGTTGACGTCAGCAGCTCCCCATCCCCACTGTAAACTGGTGTGAGCGAGTTGCTGCCTTCCTCTCCTGAGGCGCCGGACAGTTTGCCAGAACCTCTTTGGCGCCGATCAATAGTCTTTCTCCATGGCCTCACCAAACTCCTCCCACGCCCGAGATTTTGCCTCAGCAACTGCCACTGCTGCACCCCGCTTGGCTATCCGGTACCTGTCTGCTGCCTCCGGAGACCCACAGACCAGCCACGCCCTGTAGGCCTCCTTTTTCAGCCTGACGGCTCCACAGACCTCTGGTGTCCACCAGTGGGTACGGGGGTTTGCCACCACGACTGGCACCGGCCACCTTGCGACCACAGCTAGCAACAGCCGCCTCAACAATCGCAGAGTGGAACAAGGCCCACTCGGAGTCAATGTCCCCCACTGCTCTCGGGACTCGGTCAAAGCTCTGCCGGAGGTGGGAGTTGAAGACCGTCTTGACAGGTTCTTCTGCCAGGCGTTCCCAGCAGACCCTCACTATGCATTTGGGTCTGCCAGGTCTATGCGGCATCTTTCCCTGCCATCTGATCCAACTCACCCCCAGGTGGTGATCAGTTGACAGCTCCGCTCCTCTCTTCACTCGGGTGTCCAAAACATACGGCCACAGGTCAGATGATACGACTACAAAGTCTATCATCGACCTGCGACCTAGGCTGCCCCGGTACCAAGTGTACCGATGGGCATCCTTATGTTCAAACATGGTGTTCGTTATGGCCAAACTGCAGCTTGCACAGAAGTCCAATAATGAAACACCACTCGAGTTCAGATCAGGCGGGCCGTTCCTCCCAATCACACCCCTCCAGGTCAAGCTGTCATTGCCCACGTGAGCATTGACGTCCCTCAGCAGGACAATGGAGTCCCCTGATGGAGTACTATCTAGCACTCGTCCCAGGGACTCCAGAAAGGGTGGGTACTCTGAACTAATATTCGGCCCATAAGCACAAGCAACAGTCAGGACCCGTTACCCGGCCTGAAGGCGCAGGGAAGCTACCCTCTCGCCCCCTGGGGTGAACGCCAACACACAGGCAGAGAGTCTTGGGGCTAACAAAAAGCCAACCCCAGCCCTCCGCCTCTCACCCGGAGCAACTCCAGCAAAGGAGAGTGTCCAACCCCTCTCAAGGACTTGGGTTCCAGAGCCAATGCTATGTGTCAAGGTGAGTCCGACTATATCTAGCCGGTACCGCTCAACCTCTGCCACAAGCTCCTGCTCCTTCCCCGCCAGCGAGGTGACGCTCCATGTCCCAAAAACCAGTTTTCTTGTCTGGGGATCAGACCGCCAAGTCTCCCGCCTCGGTCTGCCACCCGATCCACACTGCGCCGGACCCTTCATGTTCCTCCTGCGGGTGGTGGGTCCACAGTTGGATGAGCCCATGTATCCGGTTCGGGCTGGGTCCGGCCGGGCCCCATGGGCGAAAGCCCGGCCACGAGGCGCTCGCTCACGGGCCCCAACCCCAGGCCTGGCTCCAGGGTGGGACCCCGGTAACCCTCCGGGCCGGGTACTCCGACTCTTTGAACTTACATCCATGAAAGGTCTTTTGAACCGTTCTTAGTCTCACCCTTCACCTAAGACCAATTTGTCATGGGAGACCCTACCAGAGGCATTAAGTGCCCCAGACAACATAGCTCCTAGGATCATTAGGGCACTCAAACTCCTCCACCACGATAAGGTGACGGTTCAAGGAGGAGGGTGTTGAACACATTTAAAATAAATTTAGATTTATCGAAGAAGTAAACAGGCACACTGTTCTTCATCCTATTTGAGTACTGGTGCTCAACAGCTGGGACCAGCAACTGTGAAGTGGAAGAAGAAATTTAGATATATTTAATATATACCAGTTTATTTACTGTAGTAATTTGACCATCAGTCATTCAGTCACTGAACTAATCCATGAAAGTGGCTTTAGTTACCTGTTAGGCCGCCTTCAAAAGATGCAGCCCCTGGATTTGAACACAAACAGTGTTTTCACACCACTTTGACCAAATGATCCAGCTAGAGTCTGGAATCATTACTGAACATGTTTCTCTAAATTTTAAGGCTCAAATGTGTGTGTTGCCAGCACCAGCAAAAACAATCTTGACAGTAAAGAGCAGTCGGCAGGCGGCCATGTGAAATGAGAAATTGGCTATGCCATCTATGGCTATATGATCAATTTTGTTTTGATGATCTTTATTCATTAGTTAATTTCTTTACATTCAGTTAGATTTTCATTGTGAAGTACTTTTTTACCGAAACAAACTGAAATGGACAGTTTCAGACAGCTGAAAGATGAATTGGTGCCCATCTGAACTTCACCCAGGATATGTGCATCTCCCCAACCAGGAGCTGCTCATGGTATTTTATTAGATCATGATCCATCAACATTATTGCACCTAAAAACAGAGTTTAAAACACATCTGTTTCCTTTACTTTTTAATTATTAATTTTTTAAAAGTTGTGACTAAATATTGCAACAGTAGTATAAAATCATGCTCTCTCTGAGGTCAAGATGACAGACGTTTCCTGGCTAATCAAACAGGTTGGGTTTCCAGTTATAGCATATCGATCATTTGGTAGTATACCTTGTTTAGTCCCGTTTCCTACAGACATGGTGTCTTAAACAACAAACAAATCAGATTTCATAAGAAAAAGGAAGATATTGTCATGGAAACCACAGCGATGTTCTTTGGTAAGGAAATGTGTCTAATGAATCACAGTAAGACAAGTACACAGACAAGGTAGTCCATTGAGCAGTTATAAAGTCTTAATAGGAGGTATAAGGTGCAGTTGTGAACGATTCCTGATGCTGCTTTTTGGAAAATGACATTTAATATGCAGCAGGTTTCATTTTCCACATGCTGCTTCATTTTCTCAGAGCATCACCTAAGATCACTGCGTGGCGCATCTGCCTCCGGTGTGCCCCAGGCTTTAGAAGATTGATGGAAAGAAGCAGTTGCATCATTACTGATGTCTTTCTTCCTTGGTACTGTGTTAACACACACCTGTATGCTCCAGACCAGCACACATTTATAGAGGTGGTCACACTGACAATGACAAGTTAATCAATACACTTGATCAGCAGGTCCTGGCTGATACTTTACATCCCAAATTCAAAAGAAGAAGAATGGGTGATCTTAGATTTCCACACATAGCTTTGCAATTTGTATCAGTTGAATAAACATTGACATAATGGGATTTCTTTTAAAATTAGATTTAGATGGTTAGATTTCTATATTCTCAGACTAAGAACCAGATTATTTAATTATGCCCTGATACATAAAACCTTAGATGTTATATAAGATTTTACATCGAAGGTGAAAAGACATTTCCCCCCATAGATTTTCTTTAATTTTAAACTTGATGCAAAAAAAGCTATCACCCATACTTGCTGACTCCAAACTATTTCTCGCAGTTGAATCAGCTTTTGTGCAGGTTTCTGATAAATGAGCCGTAATCATCATGCCCATCATGTGGATCTCCATAATGGCCGGCAGCACAGTGATCAGTCTCTTTCTGCCAGGTGGGTGGAAGCATCTGCTCAGCAGAAGTTTGACAACAGAGACGAAGACTACCAAAGTCATGGAAATAGTGTTCAAACTTGGAGAAATGTAAAAATTTTGCAGTAGTTGGTGTAAAATAAATATATATGTATGAACTTTCATGTAAAATTTAAATAAAAATTTTAACTTGTATTCTAATACTGTACCTGATGGCAGACAGGTTACCGATTAAATACTTAAACATAAACCCAAATTCCTGCTCTTGGCTCATGTTATTTTATATTATTAACTAATTTTTCAGACAGAGCTTCATTTGGGTCAGGGCGGCCTGTGGCTGAGACTATACACAAGATTTTCACACCAGCAGAAACTATTTCATGCTTCTCTGTTCAGAACACTTACACTTAGCATTTATTTTTCTGTGCAATGTAATTTGTGTGTTTTTGATCACTCTGATCAGTTTTCCATGGTTCTGTTATATTTCAGAAAGGACAGTTTTGTATGAACTGGTAATTCCTTTCTTTCAATTTATTTGATCAATGAATACACATCAGGTATACACAGTTTACGTTTTCCAAGTCAAAGAAATGAACGATTTCTAGGCTGGAACATGTTGTGGGCGTTCGTGGTGGCTGACAGAACCTTCAGTGTCTCATTTGGGGATTTTACTTACTCTAATGCTTATTCTCTTGTGTGGTACCCCAGGGTTTTGTGTTGGGCACACTGTTGTGTTCTTTGTATCTATACCTCTAGGTTCAATTTTTAACAAACATGGGTGTCATTTTCACTGCTGTGTCCCTTTTAAGAGGGGCTGCAATCACTTTGCAGTCTCTATCAGATTGTCTTGTCAAGGTCGGGCAATGGATGTCCTCTAACTTTTATTTATTTATTTATTTACTTGACAAAAAGACAGAGGTTGTCTACTAGCACTTTGGTCAGTTTTATACTGTTGCATGATGCTATACAAATAAAATTGGCTTTGACTAAATAACCAAAAAGGTTTCCATTAACTTCTATGTTTAAAATTTCTCAAATGGCATTCTTCCCAGGAAGTATGTCACCTTATATTTCTTCATAATGTCATATATAGCATACAGTATAAACATACCATCCTAGGGAGGTTTCAGAGAGCAGCGCTCTCTGTACATCCTTATTTTATCCTTTAACTCAACGGCATCAATGGCACCAAATCACGTAAGAAGTGGTGTAACCAACCACTGACCACCAGCTTGTTTTTTGTTCAGCATGAAAATAATACAACTGATTATGGAATTCAGCAGCATCTTCATTTCAAAGGAAACCATTAAACTACATATTTACCTGTCCTAGCAGAGGGATTTTATGGCATAAAGACAAGTGAATAAATGCTAGAAAGACAAAAAATAAATAAAAAATAAATTTAAAATATATATATAAGTGTTGAAGCCACAGAGCGTGTACTCACAGCTGGAGAAGATGAGCGGACATGAGTGTTCATCCATCGGAAAGTTGTGTAGCTGCAGCTGGCATTCTGCATTTATAGTCAACCTGCATTAAGGGGAAAAGGTGTTCATCATGGTTTATATAAAAAAACATAATTAAAGACCCACTCTGATGATCTTTGTTAGCTGTTTTAAATAGTTCGCAGTGGCTTTTAAAGCCACGCTGTTTTTAGCCTAAATCACAGAACCTGTGCTGTTGTCTAGTGCTTTGTTTCTACAAACTTGCAGTAGCTCATTAAAAATTCACCTCTGGGCTGTGGCCTGAACTGTTGGCGAGGAGGGCAAGTCGACATGTTTTGATACCATGGTCTATTTGTTACATAGAATGAACAAACACATTTCCTGATGATGATCTCAATGGTCCGGATTGTTGCTTAGAAGTCATCCACCTGCTCTATCTGCCGCTCTGAGCTCCTCCTTCACTACACCTGTCTGATTCTCTGCTCCACCTGCTGCATGGCATACTATTGTGTCCTCTTTGGTCCAACCTTCTAAACTAATTTGAGGAAATCAGTTAGCTTTGTGTTTTGGAGTTGTGTGGTGGCTGTCTGTGTCCATCAGCAGAATCTTCCTGCATGGCGTGAAGCGAACTCATGGTTCCCACGGCTGTGTGACCTACTCGAAACCCGGTTTTGCCCTCTCCCCAGGATCAAGTCCCGGATCACACATGGTGCAGTTCTGTTCAGGGAAGGAGGTGTGACACGTGTGCTGTAGCACCCTGTTGTGACCTCTGCTTTACATACACTCACTGGCCACTTTACTGGGTACACCTGGGTAGTACCGGGTTGAACCTTTGCCTTTAGGAGTGCCTTAAACCTGCTAATGCAAAACACATTACACTACATTTTATCATACAACACCTTAACAGCTGAAATAAGGTTAGGTTACCAAACAGCAGCTACAGCATGAAGCACTGGCGTTACTGTCCAGTAGATATGATCCCAGCAAACATTCAGACGCTTGATGACGGCTGAAACTACGTTAGTCTGAGATGTCCCGTCATGCTTGCAAAATAGGTCCAAAATGAAAGTTGAACTGAAGTCTTTTATGGCCACGAATTCCACATCTTTTGGCGCGTCTCATTTGGAAATTTAATAATTTAAATGTGGGTGTCTTATTACTGTATTGATGTATTACTGTAAAAAAATAATTAAACGATTGACGTCTGAGCCAAGGTCTCATATGCACCAGCCTGAATTCGAACCCATGGTGCTCTGCATCTAAGTCAGATGTCTCACTAGTTGAGCTATTTGTTTTCCACTTATTTAATTCTTGAAAAAAAACAACAACTAATAAACAATTGCGAGCCAATGCATGTTTTTTACTGTCCGTTTAAATGAATCCATTTTATCCAACAGAAAAATATTTTGGCGAAGTGTGAAAGCTAATTTCACCATCTCTCTTCTGAATATCACATCCTGCTACAGCATAGCTGTTGATCCGCCATCTTCTCTACTCCTCAGAGTCTGAGGGGGCAGAGCCGAGTGGAGTTTGTGGCGATACAGACCCAGTCAGTTTTAGGCTGCATTTTTTCATCTGCTACTGATTCACAGCAGTGTGAATGCAGAAATACTCAGAAATGTACTCTTGAGATTAAATTTCTTTAGCTGTGTCCTGTAGCACAAGAAAAATGCCTCAGGAACATATGGAAAACAGAAAAAACACAATTTTCATTGGAGTGGGTCTTTAAATACACCACTGAATGTGCGGTATCAATTTCCATGCAGACAAAACAAAGCATATTACAGGAACTGGAAATGCCTGATTATAAACTTATTTTCCATCTTTTTGTCCACAGGCCGTTCCTCAGAATCTGCATGAATGCAGCCAAAAACAAGTTTGGGGGTTTATGTCATGAGGAAAAACCAACATCACATGGTACAAAGCTCCAAGTAGTGGATTTTCCATGATATGGACAGCAGACTGCTGTAATTATCTGTTGCATGGCTGTTCAGGGAAAGCTGTCAGAGGTGTAAAGCAATTATGAAGCCAGTGTGTTTTTGACCTTCAATTAAAAGCTAGTTTAAGAATACCGGGATCATCTCTTTTCTCAGAGGGAAAAGAGGCCAAAGGAAGCATTGAGGGTGCCCCGACCTCTGTATGAAAGAGGGCTGCAATCATCCATCAAACGAGAGGCTTCAGAATGAGCCAAGACAACATAAAAGATGTTCCACATTTAGTTAAAATGAGCTAGGAGAAAAAACTTAACAAAAATGTTCTGCTGGTGAGTGGACACAACAGAGGTAAAAGATTGAAAACACGAATAAGTAGGAACATATTTGCAAAAAAGAAAAAAGGCAAACCCAGTATGATCTTTTTACCTCATTAAAGTAAACCATTGGGGCAATTCTGAGTCTGAGGGACAGTCTTAGATATCACAAAATGTCATCTCTGTTTACTCCAGACATAATTAATTCCAAATGACATTTTATTATTCCCCCTTTTTTCCTTGATTCTGTCATCAGCGGATATTACTGAACCAAGTTTGGCTGTCTTTTAATAGTCAACAGAGTTTCTCCAGCATCTGGTGTGGCCAATAAAGGGGCACTTTACAGTTTTGGCTTGCTTTTAGCACCCCCTAGTGTCTGTTTTATTTCCCGCCGTAAAAACGAAACGGAAACTCTCTTTCTTGCAGCGCACTCGTGTTTTTACCACCTTAGTCTAACTGCTGAAACGTTTCCTCAGCCTTACTAAGGGTCTACGGGAGCGATTCATCACTAAAGCTAACAAACCAGCTGTGTTCACGTCTAAAACATGCAGGAATCACGTACGAGCTCTCACAATTCAGAAAACTCCTGCTGTTGACTCTTGTTTGACTCCTATTGTGGTCAGATGTTCTTTTTATTTATTTTTTCTACATCAGATAAATGTTTTGTCTCTTCTGAGGCTCCACCATGAGAAATATGTTACAATCAACACTAACCAGGTACAGCTCATCTGTTCTGAGGCGTACACATGGATGGCCATACAGCTTGACTTTGTGAGACTTCAGGGCAGCGGTCCGGGGATGCTGAAGTTGCAAACGGGCCTGCTAACACGAAGCGGAGGGTGCTGAGAGACTTTTCAGTCACCCTCTAAAAGAGTCATTTTAGCTCTTACTGACTCGTGAAAATCATAAAAAAAATCTAAATACGTTGTATAGTATGCTTTTAGCATAGCCAATGAGAAGCAGCTGCCTGTATTAAAAAACAAATACAGGCTTGGTGTGACGTAAGTCCATACATGCAGCTCAGTCTTTTAGAGACAATGAAAAGAGGTTGATGATTATGAAAACGGATTACAAATAAAATCCCCTTTAAGATTTGAAATTATTTGCACATAAAGACCTCATTAAAATGACTGACAACACTCCAGTGATTGTTATTATGGAAGGAGCCATTTATTTTTTGGAGTGCTACGATTACAAAGGACGCTGCAGGACTCGAGGGAGATTGCCTGAGTAAATTGATCCAACATTCAAGAGTCCAATTCACCCTAATGAATGCTGTTGACAAAGGATAATTACATTAGAATTGCTCTTTTCAACAATGGTTTAGTCACAAGTGGTTCTGGGTACATTTTAGCAAATTAGTTAATGAAGATTGAGCTTCTTACCTGATAACTGAATGAAACATAACATGATAACCAAGAACTAGGAAACTGACATAAAAAGTCGAGCTGAGAACACGCAACTTACAGGATACGTAATAACGTAGAAAATCAGATTTTAATTCAAATTCCACATTTTCATAGAGATGGAAAAATAATACAAATAGCCTGGATCATAAAAATTAAAGTTTTAAATCCTGCATGAAAAAACTGTTCGGACATTTTTCAGTTTTCTGTCATTATTTGCGTTAAGAAAATGTGTAGATAATTTCATTACAATCTTATTAATTCTATTAACATTTTAAGTTTCATCATTGATATGTAAGGTCTGGTGTGGAGCTACGTGGCAGCAGTAAAAGCCTGTTTAAGACGACTTCACAAACAGAACATTAGACCCAAATGGAATGTTCCAGCATTCAAGTAAGTTACTCATAAAGGTGAAGTATTTCAGCAATAATCTTATCTTCATACCTCCTTTATACTTTTACTGTAGAAGACGCAAAGGTATGTTTATCTTGTTTGCAGCTGCCATATGTGTGTGTTAAACGAAAAGACAAAAGGAAGTTTGTCCCAGCCAAGAGAGAAAGAAGGGGATATGGGAAACATGCGCCTCAACTGATTAGCACATGATAAACACATGGTTGGTTGTAACCTATAAATCCTGTTGTGGGTTGTCTTTGAGTGTTTGTAGAAACGTGACTGTGCTATTCCATGGGAACTGCCCCCTCGGATTATACTTTTATAGCCCCGCCCACCTACTTTCATTGTTTTGTTGGTCAGGGGACTATGAGCCGACCGGCAGGGGAGGAGATTTGGGCTTCACAGACAGTGCTCAGCATAAATGAGTACACCCTTTTGAAAAAGTACAAATGTAATCAGTAGCTCAATGAACAAAATAACTATTTCCAGATTTTTCACAAAGCTGGGTTTAACTGAACACCTGTTTACCTCCAGGGAGCCTAAGTCACACCCATCTACTTCCGCAGGAAAAAGTGAATGCAAGTCAATGGGGCTAAAGGAGGAGTTTTCTACTTCCGCTTGTTTTGTGCCATGGATTTCACATATGATGTCCGTGACTTTTAATGAAGCACTTTGATACCAAGAATGCACTTATTTTCGGGGTGGGGGGAGACGATATTTCAGGTTTTGTGTGAAAATATGTCCAGGACTACAAATGCGCAGAACGAAAGTGATGTCATCGAACCAGACACGGAGAAAACAGAGGAAAAAGGACTATAATTTCAGCAAACTTCCCACAGGAGCAAAGAACCACCATAAATCTGGCCATTGGTAAGTAGCAGCTACGCTAGGGAAGAGGAGACTATGTGGTGACGTCACATATGCGATGTGCCGATGTCTAATTTGTAGTCATGCTAATTACAAATTTTTACAAGCCGATAAATGCCAAAGTATGTGACTGGTGTGGTCAAAACACCCATCATTACTTTTCATCTAAGCAGCAGTACAACATATGTGCGATCCAGGGCGTAAGGCAAAGCGGATTAGAAAATAGCGTTTTAGCTCCTTTGACTTGGATTCGTTTTTTTGTTCTTCCGAGGATCCACGAGCCAACCGGAAAGGGAGTTGACTTAGGTTCCCTATAATGTGAAACTAAGATTAATAATATAACTTAGATCACAAAAGCTTCAGTTTTACTAAAATTGGTTGAAGCAAAACTGAATACACCCCGCAACAAAAAACTACAAAGTACTACATCTAGTATTTTGTATGACCACTGTGATATTCAAGGACAGCACAAAGTCTTCTAGGCATGGAATGGACAAGTTGGAGACATATTGCAACAACTGCCTTTTTCCATTCTTTAAGAATAACCTCTTTTAGAGTCTGGATGTTGGATGGAGTCTTCTTCCGGCTCTTGGAGAGTACAGACTCTTTTTTCTCCTCTCCCTCCCTGCTCTTCCCAAGGCTCTCGTGTACTGTCTGCCTGTGCAGTGCGCTTCTCTGCATTTTTTCTGGAAACTTGAAATTATTAAACATGGATCTGGTCAGTTGGTCTCTCAACGCGATTGACAAAATCTTTTCAACGATGTGAATGGGAGAAGGGGCTCCTGGATGCCCCTCTGGGACAGAGCCAGCTGGGTATATCATGGACTCCTGGAAACAGTGGAACTTGATCTGCCTGTCTCAACTGTCTGTAGAGGATTCTGAAGATGTTAGGATATTTGTCGTTTTGGTGTCGGGATTCCTGCTGTTTGGCCTGAGCGGTTACCTGGCGTACCGGAAAATTAATGAGCTTTCGAGGAATATTGGCATAATTCCAGAAATCAGGGATGGAAATCATCGTGCTGTAAACTCACAGACTCATATAATTGTCGAGATGAGTCGTACGCTTGCAACTTTGGCTGAGATTCAGGCTCCGGCACAGAAGGTGGATTTGATCAAGGAGAGAGTTGACGGATCAGCACGGATTGGAATAGTTTGATAATGCCATTATTGGACCTGGAGGGGTTGAAGACCGACAGAACTCAAGGCAGAGAAGGCAGAGAGGAAATTATCTCTGCCTGCACCCAAAACAATTCTTGCTATCTGAATCTGGTGCCCTTGGAGCCTGTGAGGCTGAAGTGAAAACTCCCCTCAGAAGAAATGTGGAATGCTGCTGTCGCTATGGAAACTCTTTCTCCCTATCCCAGCCTGGGCGGGACTGTGACCGGTGAAGTCCGTGGAACCGTATCTAGGAGTCAATGTGCTCTCCAACCCATTATCTCCCTCCTGTCCAAACAGAGGTGATGAGCGTTGCTCTTGCGGCTGCACGATCTGAAGTGAGGAGAGCCCCAACCCTACCTCCTCACCTAGTGGACATGTATGTTGTGTATTGTCTGAAGTCTGTGTGCATTTCTGTCTGAGGTGTTCTTTCGCATAGCAAAGCTATCCTGTCAGTCGGGGGTAACTGAAGAGCCTTTTTCCCCTCCCCCTGACTCTATACTCATATAAACCTTCTTGATCTATAACGGTAGTACGACTCGTGTTGCGAATGAGCACAGTCACCAATTCTTGTCATGTGTCTATGTCTGTATGTCTGATCTTGGAATTGCCTGTACTGAAACAATTGAATTTCACTCTGGGATTAATAAAGCATTTTTTAATTGAATTGAATGCTCAACCTGCTGCTTCAGAATTCCCCACAGGTGATTGGTTGGGTTCAGATCAGGAGACATACTTGGGCATTCAATCACCTACTTTTACCCAGATTTTCTTCAGAAATGCAACAGTAGCTTTAGATGTGTGTTTTGGATCATTGTCGTGTTGGAAAAGTGCTCGACGACCAAGTGCTTGAGTGATGGCAACATATTCTCCTTCAGTATACAGCATTACATTGTTGAGTTCATGATACTATCAATGAAATGTAGCTTCCCAACACCAGCAGCATTCATGCAGCCCACATAAGTACACCGTCACCACCATGCTTGACTGTAGGCACCTTGCATTTCTCTTAGAAATCCTCATTTTTACAACACCATACAGTTTTGAAACTATTATGGTAAACGGTCTGTGTATGTATTACACCTTCTTAGGGTTCTACAACCAACCCCCGAGGGCACTTCATAACACAATCAATCATTCACCCACATATTCACACGATGGTGGTGAGCAACAATGAAGCCACAGCTGCCCTGGGGCACACTGACAAAGGTGAAGCCTGCTGAACACTGGTGCCACCGGTCCCTCTGAACACCACCAGTAGGCAAAACAGGTTAAGTGTCTTGCCCAAGGACACAACAGCAGCATTCTCTGGTTGGAGCCGGGATTGAACCTGCAACCTTCCAATTACTGGACAGCTCATGCTACTTCCTGAGCTACTGCTGTCCCAGAATGAAAATACTGTTGTCCCATTAATTCCAAAAACAGTGATCTTTGTCTCATCACTCCAGAGCCAGGAGTCCCAGTAGTCTTCAGCATGGGTCCTAGCAAATCCTAGGCACGCCTTTTTGTGCATGGGCTTTAGGAGAGAGTTCCTTCATGTACGATACCCATGCATGCCATTCCTCTACAGCGTGCGCCGTATGGTGTCATGGGAAACTCACTCCAGTTTGGTTTTCTTTGGCTTGAATAGATTTGTTAGGAAATTTGTGTGTGCAAATGAACAAATCTTGTTTGCAATCAAGTATGGTATGGTAGTATGGTATCTCATAAAAAGGAAACTAAAGGTTTTGTGACAAATGTAGTGGGGTGTACTCATTTATGCTGAGCGCTGTATATATTTTAGATTTTTTGTAATACTTAAATTTTTTTCTCCCTTCAAGTCAGGAAGAGCAGTGCCCTAGCACCTCCTATGGAAAGGCCACCACTGCAGAAATGCACCTGTGGCTATGAGCTCCCTGAAGCTGAGAACAAATATTCCCCCAAAAATGATTATATTTTATTTTTCCCATCTACAAAAAAATACTGTCACTGGTTGTGTATACATTTAATGTAATATTCAGATTGTTGACCCTGTTTTGCATAAACCATGATTTACGTGTATTGGAGGATAAATAGAAGGTATATGAATATCATTCACTTCTACTTTATGGAGAACAGTCCTAGTAACCACATTCTGAAACATCTTTACCTTAAGGTGTAAAGTATCTTCCCATCATTCCATATCCTGAGCAGCTGGTTGGGCATTGTGATCCAATGGGAATCTGCTGTCTTTGAGTTTCTGAAGATGGTGTCAGGTAGCCATATAAGTCCTACCATGTTGCTGTTTAAAGTCAGTATTTTCATTGTGCTGTTATATCTGAGGCGGCTGTCTGTCCACGTCTGGGCAAAGATGATGTCAATCTGGTACTCCTAGAAGGAGAAGCAAATGGAGAAATACTTGTTAGTGGGTTTTCTATACGATGTACATAGTTACTCATCATTTTAATAAGGAAAGGAAAAAAAATCACAAATACTTTGTAACAATAAAGAAGCAAAATGATAATTTTCTGCTATTTTAATGGTTTTTAATTCATTTTAAAAGATTGAATATTAAGTTATTGTGCCAGAGAACCATCTGACTGTGCCATCTTTGATTCATCACTTTCATTCACTAAAACATTGTTGCTCACGCATGTCTCCTCCTCTCTGCTCAGTGCAGCTTCTCTTGACCAACAGCTCCTTTAAACCCCTATAATTTTAAATTTGTTTAAAAGAGTGGTAAAGTGTATATAAATATCATAAAATGCAAAATAACATCCATCCATTTTCTGTACCCGCTTATCAGTGCAGGGTCGTGAGGGGTCGGTGCCTATCTCCCGTGGCCTTCGGGAATGCAGGCGGCTTACGTCCTGGACAGGTTGCCAGTTCATCGCAGTGCAACACAGAGACACACAGTACAAACAACCATGCACACACACGTGAGGACAATTTAAAGATACCAGTAGTTGCAGTAGTCTAGAATTATAACATTTAACCACTAAAAACCACGAATAAAAAAGGAAAAAAAGTGGGTTCCAACACTATGCAGCATACTGCAAGAGACATGGACATAGTATGTAAATCTGGTATTGAATAATTGGTGTTATTGTGTACCAGGATAAGGCCAGTACAGCTTAAACTGAGGAGTTATACACTCTTACTGCAGAGGGGATGAATGCTTTACGGTAGCGTTCTGTTTTACATCTGGGATGTCTCAGACTGCCTCTGAAGGAGCTGTCCGTGGTCTCCACAGTGGAATGCAGTGGGTGGGAGGTAGCCTAGTGAACAAAACCAAATTCTTGCTTTGCAAAGTTTGGTCTAGGCATGCTCCATTGGAACCTCTGCAGCTCCTACCAGGACTCTGGCTAGCCAATCACAGCTCTCTAGAGGGGTTTCAAACACATAAAGAGCTGTGATTGGTCCATAATGCTGGGCCAATCATAGTGCTCCTTAGTGAACAAATCACAGCGCTTTATCCGTTTTGTGGGCCAATCAGGGCACTCTATATGCCTGGTGGGTGGGATGATGCAACAGAGTGAAACAAGAGTATGTCACATTCATTGTCCAGTGGAATGCGGAGATCATTTGAAAGACAACGGTAGAACCCGCCCCACAACCGAGAGCCGTCAATGGAGCGTGGCCAGACTAAATAATACATTTATTTAGTCTGGCTTGCCAGGCTAGGTGGGAGGGGCTTTTTAAGATGGCGGTCATCTTCCCCAGCATCCTCCTTTCATAGGTCTCCTCCACTGAATCCAGTGGGCAACTCAGAACCGAGCTACCTTTGTTAACTAGCTTCCTGTCTCGTCTGAGCTGCCTGCACGCCAACAGACCACAGCAGAGTGGATAAGGGAGCCAACTACAGAGTGATAAAAGGATTTTGCAGCTGGGAATTAATTCCAAAGGACCTCAGCCTCTTCGGGAGATGGAGGAGCTTTGGCCCTTCTTATAGAGAGCATCTGTGTTGTTGGACCAGTTTAGTTTACTGATGAGGTGAACACCCAGGTACTTAAAGGTATCCACCATTCAATGTCTGCTCCCTGGATGTTTACTGGTGAGAGAGGAGGAGTGTTTCTCTGGAAGTCGGTCACCATTTCCTTATTCTTAGTAGTGTTCAAGCAAAGGTGGTTACGCTCACACCAGTCCACAAAGTCCATGATGACTGACCTGTACTCCTGGTCATTCCCCTCAGACACACAGACGACAATGGCCGAGTCGTCAGAGAACTTCTGGAGGTGACAGCTGCTGGTGTTGTAGGTGAGGTCTGAGGTGTAGAAGGTGAATAGAAACAGTGAGAGCACCGTACCCTGTGGAGCTCCAGTACTGCACACAACCACCTCAGATGTACAGTTGTGCTGCCTCACGTACTGTGGCCTGTTGGTGAGGTAGTTGATTGTCCATGCAGTTGGATATTGGTCCACTCCTGCACCCCTCACATCCTCTGCTGCAGGAGACACGGCTGGATGCTGTTGAAGGCACTTGAGAAGTCGAAGGACATGATTCTCACAGTGCTCTTTTGCATCTCCAGGTTAGAGCGAGAGCCCGGTGCTGCAGGTAGATGAGTGCGTACTCCACCCCCATGTTTGGTTTATATGCAAATTTCAGTTGGTCTATTTCTAGGGTCACCACTGAACGTAGATGGGTGAGGATGAGTCTCTCCATAGTCTTCATCAGATGGGAGGTCAAGGCGACAGGCCTGTAGTGGTCTGCTTCCCTGGGATGTGATATTTTGGGAACTGGAACCACACAGGAGGTCTTCCACTGAATGGGGACCTGCTCCAGCTGAAGGTTCAGGTTGAACATATGTGTGACCAAAGCTGGTCAGCACAGTCTTTGAGCAGTGTGGGGCTGACGCCGTCAGGACCTGCTACTTTTCTGCTCTTAACCTGCCTAAGTTCTCTCCTCACCTGGTCCGATGTAACTGAAAGGGGGGAGTAAGGGAGAGTGTGGTGCTGAGGGGCATGGGCGTCACACCCGTGGGGGATTCAACACCCACACTTTTCCAGCTGTTTTGCTCACCTCCACACCAGTCTGGTTTCTTTATGTCGCACTCACTCTGATTGCCTCATCTCCTTCTTCACCTATCGCTTCTGACAGCCGATGTCGGTTTTCCAGGAGAGCAGGAGAGGGAGGGACGGAAGAGCTCGACTGAACTCATAATTTTACATCTTGACATTAGCTGTACAAAGTCTGAGTTTGATAAAGTGAAGAACAACAATTTGCAGAGGTTTACTGGCGCGGCGCCAGGTTTTCATTTTTGGGTGGGCCACGGTAATTTTGGACGGACCTTAATAAGCAGTGACTTAGTGAAGCAGGCAGGTCGCGCTAGAAAATTTAGTTTAAAAAGACGTCATAAATGTTTTCCCCCGTCATTTTTATTTCTAAAATATGAAGTAAAAACTCCCAATTTAATTTTCATTCATTTGTCATTAATATGTAGTCTACACCCGTGCGTTAAGTGGACCATCTTCCAGTAAAACAAAGCATCCAGCCCACCTCTCCAAATGTGTAAAATGTGCATCAGCCGCTAGTTAGGCGCGCCGCGCGCACCGTCAGCTACATCAGCCCAGACAAGAGCAGAGCAACTAGAGAAAGAATAGAGGATAATTGTGTCTGGATGTGGATGGAGATTACATTTTACAGCAGCCTGATCATCATTTAAATAAAACCATCATCTGTCTTCTAGTCCACGCTGTTGGGGTTATTAGGAGCGAACAATTAGTAAGCTTCAACTTACTTTTGGATTCTTCAATAAATTCTGTAAATATGGGAATATTTACTGATTTATTAATTAATTAAGATATTCTTAGATATACGGGGCACCATTCCCCTTTTACCGGGGAAAAATTGAATCCAAAACTCTTATCAGTCTTTCTTGAAGTTCGTAGAATCCTTGGAGCAGAGACTTCTCTTCGACACAACAAAGCTACTGGAGACGAAAATCTGAATTTTATAACGTTTAATTAACAATTTGTCAAATGAATAAACAGTGGCATAAATGAATAATAACCATGTGATATAATAAAAGGATGTATATTCAAAATAATGTTTAAGGTGTTTGTGTGGTGTGTGTGTGTGGATTCAAAATGGAGTCTTGAATACAAGATGGCTGACCCCTTTGTCTGGCTAAAGTGTGGGTGGCAACTTGCACTTTAACTTCCAAAGCACTTAGAATCAGTAGTAACTTAACCTTAAATCACTCAAAACATTTCAAAAGATCATGAAACAACACAAAAGATTAATCACAAATTAATATCTTTTAGTTTCAGCCTGGCCATGACAGAAACCATTTTAAGATACCAAACAATGATCAATAAGCAGTTTATTCTTTCAAAATGACCCGAAGGACGAATTGGGAGCGAAAGAGGAAAACACGAAGCTACTTTTTTAAGCAATAGCGCGGTTTTATTGCTTATTCTGGACTATAGAGGAAACGGGAGAAGAAAAGGAGAGAAAAAAAATGAGTTTTCTGATCACCAGATGAAGCAGCAAGGCGTCCCCGCTGTTATGATTTGACGGTTCTCCGTTTTCTCCGCAGTTTTCAGCGTCATCCGTCGGTTTAATGCTTTCTCCGTTGTTTGGCTCCACGAGTGTTTCTCCACGGGCTGGACAGAGACAACAAAGTTTCTTTCTGTGCTGAGTTATAACTTACAGCGTGCTTGATGGAGTTGTTGCTTTCCTCCGCAGTTCTGTGTCCTCAAACATCAGCTGGAGGGGAGCAGAAACGAGCAGATCTGATGGGCTTGCAGTTTAGTTTCCAGCAGTTCCGTGGGCTCAACTCGGGCACTTAGAGCTTCCGCGTGCTCAAGTTGTCGGAGCGTTGACAAGCGTGTCCTAACCGCCAGGTATCCTGGGCAAAAGAACGAGGTTTCTTTGTCTCTGCTGAAGATTTATGGTCTTAGTTCGCGGGAAAAGCTCCACGGCTTCCCGCACATGCGCAGAACGTGTTTCTGGTACTAGGCGGTAACATCACCCAATGCTTCCGTGTGCAAAGCATCATGGGAAATGAAGTTTCTTGGCGCTGATGTGATTATTTGCTTTTCAGAGCAATTTAAGCACAGTCATTTTGGAGAAAATCACTGCATAGTAATTTCCTCATGAGGTCAGACCCTCAACATTCCCCCTTTTGGTTTCGGGGATCGCGCCCAAAGCTCGATCGTCGGAAGCACAGATGGGTTTGTTCCTCATGAACGTAGGTCGACTTGATTGTCGGAAGCACAGGTGGGTTTGTCCCTTAGGACGTTGGTCTCCTTGGACGCCTTTGTCTTTGGTCTTTGTCTTGGATCCTGGCGCCTTTGGTCTTTGTCTTGGATCCTGGCGCCTTTGGTCTTTGTCTTGGATCCTGGTCAGGCACAAAACAAAAGAGGATAGGAAATGGGATAGTCCCCAAC